CCATGGCACCTCTGACAGCAGCGAAGTGATGGACCTGTACACTTTGTAAACATCCTTCAGAAAAGCTGCACCAATACTGGGGGGAAATGGGCACTTTTTGGCTGAGAAAGAAGCAAAGCAACTTGTTGCTCTCTTTGTAGAGGACAGGCATTGAGCAGATGCATTTTTCTCATTGTAGAAAATGGTGGCATTTCCCCTTTTGTCTCTGTAAAATTAATGTTAGTAGGAACATGCTTAAATCCAGAAGTGGACATAAGGTCCATCGTTTACTTGACTGGAGGTGAATGTGGGAACATGTCCAGAAGTTTGAGCTTTGCAATTTGGGTGTTTTCTTCTCTGTTACAGGTGAACAACTAGCACCTCTCGCTTTCGTTTCCTACAGGGAGCATAGGAAACCCGGTGGCAGAGGGTTGGAAGAAAATGATCTTTGAGGTTCCTTCCAACTCTGAAATTTTATGATTCTATGAATTCCTAGAACAAGGAATAATCTGGTTTTGCTCCAAGGTACTGATGAAGGGAAGTTCCACCAGGATATTGCTGTGTGTTGGGAGCAGTGGGAGCTACTGGGGGCCTCAGCTGAGACGTTGCCTTTCAATCTCCGACCACGTCTGCCGCCCCTCCAGCAACACCAACACCCATAAACCTTCTCGAGGATCATGTGGAGTTTTAAAACAGAACCTGCTTTGGGTTTCTTGGCTGCCTGGGCTGAAGGACACCTGCTCGGAGGCAGCAGCAGGTTGACAGCAGAGGGTGTGTTTTGGTGCTGTGTTTGTGTTTTTTCCAGAGGTGTGCACATGGCCTGGTCACTAGCAGCCTTTGTGCAGCCCTGTTAGCACAAGCAGTGGGAAAATTGACAGGAATCATGAGGAATGGAGAATTTTCTCAGTTGTGATGCAGAAGGTTTTTTGAGGCAGACTTGCAGTCTGACTTGAGTCATGGGACTGAAAGGGATTTCTCCAGGTCACCAAGCCCTGGATATTGCTGTCACGGGCAGTCCCGTCCTTCTGTCCCTTAATTTGTCCGTCTTGTGCTTAAAACTATTTGGATTGTTGTTTAGCTCCACTGTTTGCTTTCTGTGACTTCTTCCCTTTGATCTCCTTTCTTAGCCAGTGCCTTCTCTGTCGTGCCAGCTGTGATCTTAGCAGACCAATGCCCTGAACTACGTGGTGCAATCAACAAAAGTCCTTCTGAATTCTTCCCTGCGACTGAACCCACTGTGCCTGTCCTTGAAGCACAGCCAGCCCTGCTGTGCTCCTGTCTCCTCCTCCTCCAGAGACCTGGAGTTCATCTGACTCCATGTCTTTGACCATCGCCTTCCGCCCGCCATCCTCTTCCTCCATCCACTCTAACTCCAGTCAAGTGCATAAACTTCAAGCTGGTGACTGATTTTCCTCCTGCCAGCACTTCATAGCAGCGTGACCCAGCCGTGCCTCTCTTCAGTGGCCTGACACTGTCTGAAATACATATTCTCTCCCTTTTATACTTCAGTCTGCAGATGACTCTGTGTTCTGTGCTCTCCTGCTACCCAGTTATTCTCTGCCCATCACCTTTATCCCCCAGACCTCTCCTGGTTTAGTTTTTCTTCCCAGGGACCCAGCTGTTCTCCTCCTCTTTGTTATCCCCAGCCTTCTGTTCTTGTTCTGCATCACGACAAGCCCCTTTGTCAGCTTTTCTTTCCCGGTCGCTGCTGTTTCTCCCCGTCCCTCTTGGGATCTCACCTTCCATGGTCTCACTGCTCCCAAAGGTGCCCTTATTCAGCAGGTCTTTGAAAACTCAGATTGTCTCATTCACACTTCATGTCTGTCTGACCATACGTGAAGATGCCCCGTCTGGACCCATCTCAGTTCTTTCCATCTTGTTTCTGGAGCTCAGCTCTGCTCTCTGAGTCAAGGAAAATAGTTGTCCACAAGCACATCCCCTTTGTTCTTACATTTCATTGTCTCCGTTGTCTAGTCCAGCCTTTGGATCTCATCCACCAGAAACATCTCTCATGTGCTTCCCTCCCCCTTGTGCACACCCATCCCAAAAAATAATAATACCAGGAGATTAAAAGTCTGTAAACTCTCTTTTTTTGTGCCTCTGTTTACTTGGCTGCCTTGCTTGCCCCCTCTGTCTGTTGCCCAGGTGAGCCCTGCTCTCTCCCTGAAGGTTGGCCCTTGAGTATCCACCAGAGCCAAGGAAAGGCAGACGCCTTCCTCATGGACCTGTTTGCAAACCAGTCAGACCACCGACCCCATGGACTGAAAGAGCAAGAGAGGAGCAGGCAGAGGCATGGAAACCATGTGTGGGACCCTGCTCCCTCCTCCCCTGGTGGAAATCCCTGCAGGAATAGGATGGCACCATCTTATTCTTTCAGATGCTTGGGACTTTCCTTGGGGAGCTCTCTGGTGGTTTATGCTGATGCTGTTGCTTTCTCCCTGGAGATGTTTTGTGTGCTGGAAGTGACAAATTTACAGTATTAGAGAATTATTGTTCTGCTTTTGTCCTGTATTTTATTCACTGCAGACCATTACTGTAACATGGCTATGATGGTGTTATGGGGTGAAAACAGGCCACCTGTGGCATTTTACACCAAATCACTGTAAACCAGGACACTCAGCAAAAATTGGGTCAGCAATGGTGATGCTTCTGGGCTTAGAGCTGCGGGTCTCAGCTCATTGTACTGATAAACAGAGACTTGACTTGCAAGATGAACCTTTCTACAGCAACCCTGGATCAACCTTTACCCCTCAACCTGCTCCCTGGGGTTAAACATTGACCAGGGAGGAAAAATTCCATAGTGTCCTGATGTGCATTATCTATTTAGATACTTGAAATGTTGCCACGTGGATATACTGTGGATATAAATCTCATTAAATATTTAAATGGTGATCATACTCCACGTCCTTTCTAGGACTGAGGCTGTTCTCATGGCAAGGCCTTTCCCCTTTTACTTTGCATGACTCCAGGGAGACCTTAGAGCCTCTTCCAGGGCCTAAAGGGGGCTCCAAGAAAACTGGAGAGGAACTTTGGACAGGGACACAGAGTGACAGCAAAAGGGGGAATGGCTTCCCACTGCCAGAAGGCAGGGTTAGATGGGATATTGGGAAGGAATTCTTCCCCATAAGAGTGGGGAGGCCCTGGCACAGGTTGCCCAGAGAAGCTGTAGCTGCCCCATCCCTGGAAGTGTCCAAGGCCAGGTTGGACGGGGCTTGGAGCAATCTGGGCTAGTGAAAGGTGTCCCTGCCCATGCCAAGGGGTGGAACAGGATGGTCTTTAAGGTCCCTTCCAACCCAAACCATTCTGTGATACCTCAGGCATCAACCAGCCCCTTCCCCTGCAGCTACACTGGTCCATGTGGTCTCTGGTCTCCTGAGAATCCTCTGATTCTCCTGAGGCTTATGATATTTTATTAATATTTTCATTAATAGATATTTTAAAAACTTAATTTATTAATATTTATATTAATTAAGATACATTTAATAGGCAGGAGATATTATCAGGGAGGCATGGAGCTGTAGCCTGTCACTGGAAGACGCAGAGCAGCTTTCACACTCAGACATTAATCTCCTCCAAGCTGCATGGAGATAACTCTGATCTGTGCTCTGGCTTTTCGAGCTGCTCCTGTTCCAACACGACAGTGATGCTGCAGCTTTACTGGCCGTGGTGGGAGCTGGGGTGTGGGGAGGGGGCGGGAGAGGGGTCTTACCACAGCAAACTGCCCGGCATGGAAGGCTTTGAAATGGGGATTTGCATCAAAGGAAAACTCTTGGGGTTAGTTAAATATTCCTCTAAATATGTAAAGGAATGGAGTTACTGATGCTTGTTATTCTTATCTTACTCTTGGTGTCACAACATCTTTACGTTCAGTGAAGGTTTCATTTACTAAGGCGGTTGTAAAGATTTCACGTTAATTAAGAGGACTCCACTGCAAATCTGAATATGAATGAAGTTTGGCTGCTGAACCCCAGGCCAGTGAGTACTGTGGGAACAGCAGACATTGACAAATGTTGATTTAAAAAAAAAAAAGCAACCAAAAACCAGAAAAACACCTAAACCAGTGCTTGAATCTTGTACCTGTTCTGTGAGAGACAAAATTGAGTTTGAGTTGCCAGAAGAAAATAAAATAGATTTTGACTTGAATTTGTAGTCAAAGAGGTGAAATTCTGTCTATCAGAGCACTGATGAGGGTCCTGTGCCACCAGAGCCCAGGGTTCAGACACATCACTCTGGCACAGCTGCTCCCTCTCCACAGGCAGAGTTTCAGTGGGTGGGCGGATCTTCAATGGAGGACGGGGAAAATTCTGGGCTTGATCCTGATCTCATTGCTTTGATGAAGTCCCATCAAGTCCAGTCAGCCTTGACTGGTGGTCATTCACTTGAGGTGGAGCTTCACCCTGTGGGGACAGTGCAGGCAGTTGTAGGGGTCTGGGGAACGAGGCTTCTGAGGGTGGAGCTCTCATGATGAAGAGACTAGAAACATTTTTTCCCCAACACCTGCTTTTTTGGGGGAGTTTTTCATAGCTGGCAGCACTTGGAAGAGCAGTAGCTGAGAGGTAGGGCAAGCAGTTGTCACTTGGGTATCTGTGTTTCTCTTCCAACTCCAGTGCAGGGTTGCTGTTGATGAACTGGGGTGAGTCCTCCTCTCTCATCTCTCCACTCATCCATCTGGAGATGGGTGAGCTCACCTGGCTGGACAGGGCTGACGTGCCTTTGCAAAGCGGTTTCGGGCGATGTGAAAGGTGCTGCAGAGGTGCCAAGCACTGCCCCACCTTCTAGGGAAGGACTTTGGGGGAGGAAATGGTGATACACAACATTTTAACTTTGCTGGAATGCATTGGACTTGGCTTTTGGAGTGGAAAGTGACAATCCAAGAGCCTAAATAAATCGGGTTAGGGGCAGCATGTGAGGTGGTGTGGGGGTGTTTTATTGTGTTTTATTGTTGTTATTTTTTATTCACGGTTCCTTGAGCCAGTCCTGGGAATTGCACTGACTGTGGTTATGTTTCTGGAAATGTGCAGGTTGGCCAGATGCAGTGGGGCATGGAGTGAACAGAAAGAGGTTAAATTGATGGATGACCAACAAGAGCAGGATTGTGCCTCAGAAGACCAAGAAACTATCCTGATTAATGGGGTGAAAGAAAATGGTAAGGAACTTAATTACGGTACATGAGGGAGCAGCGACAACTTGCAAGCCAACTTATTTTCCTAACTCCTTCTGTGTGTTTAATTTTAGCAGTTTGTGAGTATCTCTGCAATGTGGAGCAGTGAGGTAAATGGGTGTTTTCTGCACAGGTGTCACTCCTGCCATGAATCTACACCTTTTTAGGTCTTAACAAGTACTGCTTTTGCCTGTGCATGGATGTGGCTGGAAATGCTTCTGTGCACATGCAGTTTGAATTAGAGACTTTAGTTTGGTTTCTTAGGGGGAAAAAATCATCCAGGACTGTGTAGCCCCTCTGTATGTTGGGAATCTTTCCCTCTCTCAGCAGTTATGAACACACTACCCAATATTAGCAAAATTTAACTGGAGGATACTTAGTCCCTACAAGCTGGGGCCAATTACAGATTGGGTAGAAGAAGCAAACCAGGATGGTTTGTTTCCCATGGGAAGGCAAGCTTGACTTTTGAGCTCCCATAACCTCTCTTCTGCACACACACTGGTGCCACTGGGAGCCACCAAGTCATTCCAGCTGCCACTGGCTTTGGAGAGGAAGGATCAGCCCCTTGCAGCAGCCTGCCCAAAATGCCCAACTTTGTATCTATTCCATCGATTCCAGACTTGCTTTCAAAATAACTAATCAGAAGTAACAGTGCTCAGCTGTCTGAAACCCTGATTGAAATAAATGCGCCTCTGAGCAGTTTCTCAGGTCATGTGGACTGTAGTCACTGGCCCCAGTAAATGCAGAGGGGAGGCAGAGCCTGACATTTTCACTCTCCAAGCATGTTTTCTGCTTCATTTCATGGCTTTTTACATTTTCTATTGGCCTATAAATCTTGAGATGTATATTTATTTATATATAAATTTGATCCTGTTAGATATCAAGGGTCATCTGACACATTGTATGTTCAGGTCCTTCTGTCAGCTTCAAACAAGGTGCGTGGAGACAAATGTTGTTCTTGTCCATTACCAAAAACCTGGAGCAACTCCAGACACACAGGTGTCCGTGGGGACCCTGCAGCACGTGCTGGTGGTATAATCTGGGAGGTTTCTGTCTCCTTCCTGACTACACACAGTAAATCCACAGCTGCTGGAGCTGCTGAAGCTGCAAGGGGATTTTCTAGCCATGATCTCCTTGTCTGATCCCATGGACAGTAAAATCAGTGCTTCCCTGCTCAGTAAGGAGGGGTGATTTCTAGAACCTGATACCACATCCATGGTATTCAACTAAACAGGGCTTAAAAAGTGCTTTAATTAGACATAGAATCACAGAACAGTTTGGGTTGGAAGGGACCCTAAAGCCCATCCAGTCCCACCCCCTGCCATGGGCAGGGACACCTTCCACTAGCTCAGGTTGCTCCAACCTGGCCTTGGGCACTTCCAGGGATGGGGCAGCCACAGCTTCTCTGGGCAACCTGTGCCAGGGCCTCCCCACCCTCACAGCCAGGAATTCCTTCCCAGTATCCCATCTAAACCTCCCCTCTGTCAGTTTAAACTTCCAGTTTAAACCTTGGTGTGTAGGAGTTGGTGCTGAATCCAAAGCAGTGAGCCAGCACCCTGGTGCCACCACCTCCCCTTGCCCATGTGCTTTTGGGTGGATGTTGAGTTAAAGTGGGAAGAGTGTTTTTGCCTCTCAGCTTTCTGTGTGAACTGTACTCTTTTGGAGCATCAGTTGAACATACACCTGACTTTAGGCCGATACGGAGCCCTAGAAAATCAAGTTTTGGCATTTGTATTTCAAAAGAGTTAAGTTCACTCACACAAGTATAAACCTAAAAAACACCCAGAGACAGTTTATTTTATATAATAGCAGCTCTGCCTATTGACTGCAGCATTCCAGATTGAATTTCAGCTTTCTGCCTCCCCCTTCTTTGAATCTTACAGCATTCACAGACATTCTTCTTTTATCCTCAAATTTTCCATGCTTCCTGTCAGCTCCAAGCTGATTTTTATTTTATTTTACTTCTGAAGTGGAACTGCACTGGTTAATTTGTTTTGGTGCTTAAGGAAAAAGATACCACCTCTGCATTTCTCATCTGAAAACTGGTGGGAGGGACTCAAAAATCAGCTTTTTTATTTCTTTCTTTTTTTTTTTTTTTTAACCCTTTTCAAGCAAACCAGGCTGGTCTTTTACAAGTCGTGCATGTCGAACATGCTTACATTGCACTTCTGGTTGGATTTATGGAGTCTTTGGAAAGTGGTTTAAAGTCCTCAGAGCACTGTGTGGATCTGGCTGCAGCTTGTACTTTGTTTGGGTTTCACTGGTGGGGTCCATCCCTAAGGCCCCCACAGCACAAAACTGCTTTGGGGATGGGATTGGGGGGTTTCTGATCTCCTCTAAGTTTTACACTTGGCACGGGCAGGAATCCCACTCCTTCCATCACATCCTGTTCCTTTCCATCCTGCCCACTTGCTCTGCTCGGTGGGTTTTCCATCATGGCCATGGTACATGTGCCTGCACAGACCTTCCCTTCCCAGACTGCCAAAGATTCAAGAGACTTGCTTTCCTTTGAGTTGGGAATAAAAGCACTTGTGGAGGGGTTGCAGCAGCCAAATCCCTTTGGATACCCCATTTAATGCCATATCCTAGTGCTCTGGTTGTGGTTTAAAGCGTTTGTCCCTCCTTGGAAAGCCTCGTTGCTTCCATTCTCCTGCCTCTGCCTTCACTGGAGCCACCAAAAAGGAAAGACATGAGCCATGACAAAGGCCCTGGGCTCGGAGTCGGCACAGGTCTCTGGCTGGGATGAATGCACTCATTGGAATATATATTTTTAATACAGAGATATCAGAGCGTGTTCGTGGATGAAAAGACGTCGTATTTAAATTTCAAGGGTCATATCGTCCGTTGAGCCAGAAGTCAGATAAAAGTGCATTCATAACTTTATTCTGCCATAAAAGAGCCCGACGAGGTAAAACTACAAAAATCCTTAGGTTAAAAAAAATCCTTACATTATTAGAAAGGCATTTTTACAGATAAGGGAAGAATGGCATAACTCACAATAATTCTAACAATAATTGCTTTAAACTCTGTGTAATCTTCTGCCTTCCCTTGGCATGGACAGTGACAAAAAGACTGCTGGGTTTTTAAAATCAGCTGTAACTTTCTGTCTCTGGAGCAGAAGTGCAGCTCAGCTGTGTGTAAGCTCAGGCACCACGGGGGGGATGCTTCGTTTCTTTAAGAATCTTATTTTTCTGTTAATTTTTTTCAATGTTAATGGGAACATTTTTATTAGGCTTGTTTTGTTTTTTAATAACCTTGTCAGGTTGGAGAGGCAGTATCCAGGTAACGGTATGAATACGAGGAGGGAAGAGTGGATGGGTTGGGTTTTTCAAACGTACTCTTGTACCTCTTCCAGCTGGCTGCAGAGGGGAGCGTGTTTACCTCTCCCTTCCATGCACATCACCACATTAATTGGATCCAGGAGGGAAGGACTCGTGGGAAGGGCATGTGCTGCTTCCCAAAGGAGCAGTCGGGAAAAGTCACCACCAAACGCTGGGAGAAGGGGAGCGGGGTGGCAAACCCGAGCAGACCTGCGAGGGTAGTAACCCCTCTCTCTCTTGCTTTCCTCCCTCCCTCTTCCTTATTCCCCCCAGAGTCACACACCCTGGGCGGCGATGAGAGGCCTTGCAGCGCCGCCGAGGCCGCGGTGCCGTTCCCAGCCCTGACCGCGGCGCCGAGGGAAAGCCACGCGTGCCACCGAGCCCCGCCGGCCAAGAAGCCCTGCCTGCTGAGCCCCCCGTCGCCGCTGCGGCTCACGGATGTCCCCGAGCACGCCTCGGATGACTCCTCTGCCCACGCCATCTCCCTCACGTCCTGCGTGACCAAGGGCATGAGCTCCTGGTCGCTGCCGGGCGACTGCGAGAAGGCTCCGTTCACCATGATGGAGCCCGGAGGAATGTCGGCGCTGACGGGAGACTGCCTGATGCAGCCGAGCCGGACCTGTCTGGGCTGCTTTATTGAATCCAAGGACGGCATTGATGCAGAGCCGGGAATAAGCTTGAAAGTGGGGGATATAAATAGGGATTATGACACCTGTTCAGTCTCTGATATAGGGATTCACTGCATGAGCACAGGAGAAACCATGAGATATGGGGATCAACTGCTTTCAGACCAGCTTTTAAGCTTCCCTATGCATAAATCGAGGGCAGCGGACAAAAGAGATGCAGAAAAATCTGACAGTGATTCAGAGGACCCCACTCAGAAAAATTATTACGAGGGATTACTATTAGACAAATGCAATGGTGAGGAACCTTTACTAACAAATCCCAACCAGGAATGGGGCTATTTTGAATCTTTCATTAGTGAAAGTAAAATTGAGCTGCTTGACCTCTGCTCCAAAAATGAGCTTTCTGTGAATCTGTTTTCTGAGGAAGACGTGGATAATTACATGTTCGACGATGATGATTCCACCTTGGGAAGTGATGTCTGCTCCCTAAAGATTAGATACGAATCTTTCCAGGACAACGTGCGGGAGAAGACCACCACCCTACAGGAGGATGCCCAGTTCAACTTCTTCCCCAGCGTGTTCAGCAACTGCACCAAAAGGGACAGCAGGAGCACCCTGAAAAGGGGGCCCAGCGGTGCCACTGACCCCTCTCAATTCAAATCTGAGGAAGGCATCATCTGGGGGGAGGAGGAGGAGGATGGCGAGGAAGAGGATGGTGAGGAGGAGGAGAAAGCTGCCTTAAATAAATCTTGCAACAGCACAGAGATGGTGCAGTACGTGGGCTCCAAGAGGAGCCACTTCTTGGACTCGGTGAATTCCACGGAGGACTCTGGGGAGTTCAGTGATGACAGCACTTGCACGGAGTCCTCCTACGACGTGCTGCGGGACATCAAGGACTGCAGCCGGTACCTGGCCCGGGACCACTCCGGCTCCTTCATCCAGCAGAACTACGGGTTGCGGGCAAAGAGGAAAGTGCGGTACAGCGACGACTACCTGTACGATGTGGACTCCATCGAGAATGAGAAGATCCTGGACAAGAAGGAGTGGCTCCCAGACGGGCCCAAGGAGGAGGACGATGACGAGTGGTGCCCCAAGAAACGGCGAAAAGTCTCTCGCAAGGAGCCCCCCGTGATCATCAAGTACATCATCATTAACAGGTTTAAAGGAGAGAAGCATATGCTGGTGAAGCTCAGCAAAGTGGATGCCAACGAGACAACTGTTACTCTGAACGAGGAGCTGCTCAGCAAATACAAGAAGCTGGCCCCACTGAAGGGCTTCTGGCAGGAGAGGCAGCAGAGCCGGCTGGATTTGCTCAGATCGTCTCTCTACCACAAGCAGAATTTCTATCTTAACGGCTCAGATGCTTCGTTCCTCCCTCACCCACGGAAGCGAAAATGCAAGCTAGCAAACAGGCACCGGATTCAAAGAATTAAAGCCATCGAGCAGTCAGTGAACAAGCTGGGCTCTTGCTCCTCTGATCACAAGCAGCCTTGCAGCAGTAAGGAGGACGTGGGCCTGAAAGGGCTGCCGGCGTTAGCCATCGCCACCCCCAGCTGTGCCAACGGATTACACGTCCACGACATCACGGGCATCGCCGCCGTGAAATGCAAATCGCAGGAACGGGAGCACAAGGGGACAGAAAGGAAAGTGCTCCGCAGGATCAAATTCAAAAGTGAGGCCAGGTTGAAGTGCAAGAAGATCAAAGCTGCTACCAGTACAGTGGAGGACTCCCCAGCGCTGGAAAACCAGGACTCTGCAGCACGTCTGAAGGACGAAAACAGTCCCTGTGCTTCAGACAGCTCCCATCTCCCGGAGTGCCACGAGGATAAGGTTGCTAAAAATTCTCCTTTCCTACCATCCACCTCCTCTTCAGACAAGCCTCTGCCATCTGCTAATATCACCACCAATGTACCCCTGATCCCCGGAGGGTATCTGCAGACGTTGTTAGATGCTTCGGATTTGTCGAGCAACACGGGTATCCCGTACTTCGCCCAGCACCCCTCCGAGCAGCCGCAGCACCCGCTCCCCAGCATCGTCCGGCCAGAGAAGCCCTTCCCAGCCCTGCAGCCGGCGCAGAGCTGTGTGCTCTCCCCGCCCTCCGAGTCGGAGCTGCAGCAGTCGCCCGGCCACTTGGAGATGGAGCAGAGCAGCTTCGGCAGCCTGTGGCCGGCCAAGGCCGGCGGTGACCGCCAGGACTTCCCTGGTGACCTGCCGGAGGCAGCCGGGCTGCCGGGCGAGTTCGGCGGCGGCGGCGCCCCAGGCACGAACGGGCTCCCTGCCTCTGGGTACACTCAAGTCAATCTGAATAGCGGCAAATTGCTATACCAAAAAAATTACATGCCGGATAGCCAACAAGTGCAGTCTGATGATTCTTATCAGTCATGTCATTTTAATAATGGAGAGGGGCGCTTCCATTTCCAACGAGGTACACTAAGTACAGATGATGGCAGGCTCATTAGTTTTGATTCAGTGGGTTCATTGTCAGTTAGTTCTAGTAATTACAGTTCTTTAAGTTTAAAGTCTTGTGAAAAGGACGGCGAGGATGATATTAATGATGATTTCTTGGCCCACTGCAGTCCCAAGTTAGTGATCCAGCAGAGCATAGATGAAATCACCCCTTTGAAGGAGTCCACGGACCTTTTAGACATTTCCAACTTCACGCCTGATAGGTTCCGCCAGTCGTCGCTTTCAGAGATGTCCCCTCCGGACACTCCCAACCTGTCCCCGCAGATAGCTGGCTCCGATGCCAAGCCTCTGGGCACCCTGAAGGGCTTTCAGGAGAGCCCCCAGGCTGCCCTCAACAGCCCTGAGAAGGTCAAGTGGAACTGTGGGGTCCTACAGACCGAGGATCAGGCAGATAATGGGTTTGCTTTAAATAATCACCAGTTCCAGTTCCATATGTTCAACGATGAAGATTCTGTCAGCCTTCTCGAAAAGAGTCCATGCTTGTCAACATTTAATGAGCCATCTGGTCAAATTAGCACCAATAGCAAAGTGTCAAAATCGAAGAGGAAAAGTTCATCCAGCAAGAATGTGGGTACAAACCAAAGCTCTTCCCAGAAAGTCACCCGGAAAAAATCGCCCAAAACCAACAAAGGAACCGATAAGCCGCAAGGGAAGAACTCCAGGCAGGCGCCCAAATCCACCAGGAAAGGGAAAAACGCAGCGGGAGTCAATGGTGAGAAGGTTCCGGCTGTTGGTGGCAGGGCAGTCCCTCAGCTGAGCACGGTGGCCACGGCCACCAAGGGCCTGGCCGAGGGCACTCAGCACTGCGGCCCGGCCGGGGTGAAGCTGGGCAAGCACAATGGGCTCTCTGGAGATTGGGCACTGGGAAAAGAGGGGGGCACAGGCTGGTCAGAACCCAGCCTGGGCAACGCCACCAGCCTCCTGGACGACGATCAGAGGGAGTTTGAGGAACCTTCCAACATCCTGTCCAACATCGCGTCGGGAATGGCTGATGTCCAGAGGTTTATGATGGCCTCCATCGAGCCCTTGTGGGGGCCTGTCAGCCACAACAGTGTTCCAGACATATTCCGGTCACCGGAGTCCAACAGCCTGAAACTGAAAACTCTTAAAATTTTGGCAGGGACGTCCCAAGAGTCGAAGAAGAAGGCGAACGGTGGCTCGCCGGGGGCGGCGAAGAACCACAAGTCAAACAACAAGGGCTCAAGCAAAAACAGCAAAGCCGCAACCTGCGACCCCGGTCGCCCCAACTGCTCGACCGGGTTCACCACGGACATTCACGCTCCCTTTTTTGATAAAAACTATAGTAACCTGAGCACTTTAGGCAATAATGGACCTACCCATAAAAAACTCTACCGTCATAAATCCAGTTCGAAATCACTGCGGGATGAGAACTGTAAAATCAAGCGGACGGACCGCGAACAGCCCCACAAGGACCCACCCGTGACAGCTGCTTTTGAGAAACTGAGGTAATGCTGCACCAAACTGGCTGGAATGCCCCTAACCTCCCTCCCACCTGCTAGGCCCGCTGTTCCTCAGTTTTTCCTTCCTGAAAGCAAAAGTTGCATGAAAAAAAAAAAGACATTCCCCTTTTACAGTTTTGGTTGGTTTTGGTTTTGGGGTTGGTTTCTTTTTTTTGTTTGTTTGGTTGGTTTTTTATTATTATTTTTAAATGCATGAAAATACTTATGACTTGCAAGCTACCTAAAAGAATGACCAATTTTCTGGCTTGGCTGGGGTTAAAAAAACTAACAAGGCTACTCTTTTCTGCTGTTTGGCTTCTTCAGTTTTTAATTACTTATTTATTGGGGAAAAACAAAAACAAAAAAAAAAAAAACATGATTACACGCTCTTTTTAATTATTTTGACGAGGAAAGACTTTTTTTTTTTTTTTTGGAACATTTTGTAAAAAATAAATCACAAAAAAAAAAAAAAGAGGTTCTGCATCCAAAAGCCAAGATCTCGAAACTTAAAGGCTCTTTACTTTGCAAATGAGAACTCGTTCCTAATTGAGCTTCACGTGGCAATTTTTGAGTGCTTTCTGGCCCCCTCTGCTGTTGTATCTCCTAACCTGCATCATCTAAAGCTGCATCTTCTCTACCCGCCCGCCTCTAGCGCGTTCGCTCCGTCGTGGTGACTCCAGACGAGCTAACTAAGATGGCATCAAATGTTTGATTTTTTCCTGCAGGGAATCAGACTCCATTCTTCTTAAAGCAGAAACAACATTTTTGGGTTTTCCTGTATTTGAAGAAGAGACTCCCTTTTCTAGAAAGACGGTTGATGTTTGGTTCTTTTCTTACCATTTCTTTTTCAGTTGGGTTTGTTTTTTTTCCCCGTCGGTTCCTTTTCGAAATCTGCCTTGTGGTCTGTTGAAATGTAAGTGCTGAAATGAAGAGTTTGAAATTGTGGGAATTTTATTATTTGAAAGCAAACTTAATCTGGTATTCTCTGTGAAAGACTGTTTTAAAAGTCATACTGTTGTACAGTAGTTTATGCACTATTACCCACAACAACAAAAAATTGTGCCAAACTATGAACAAGTGACTGTATTGTATATATTTTTACTTCTCTATCAACATTGGGTTGTGAGTGTTTTCTGCAGCTATGCTTTTTGGTTTTACTAGAAACATTCCAGTTGTTAAGTACTAACCACCCCCCTTCGAAAGCACGTGTAACTCATGATGAAAACGATCTTGTTCACTGATACAACTTACCAAAAGTTTTATGGACATGACTAAAAGTGTGCCAAATTTACTTACCTCATTTCATGGATTCACCCTGTGGTTTAAAGCTCATAAAGGGAAAAAAAAAAAAAAAAAAAAAAAAAAAAAGAAAAAGCTAAAAAAAAGGGGGGGGAGGAAAAAGGAACTTTGAAACCGATGCTGGGAAATGGTAACATCCTCTCTTTGAAACCACGAGTGGATAAACTTAATAGCGAAATGTTGAGTTTCATTCTAGGAGAGAGTTGCAATGGTGGAGGAGTTCAGAAAACCACTGACGGTAAGTTTGCCAGGAACTCAAGTGTCTGCATCTAGAGACTACAGAACAGCTGCTTTTCAAGTATCTGTTTTCTTAAAGCAAAACCTGTAGCTGAAGATCATTTGAAATGCAAAGTTACATTGCTAATTCTTTGTATCTCAGTTTTATATATTTTATAAGAACCTGGGATAAATTCTAAAATAGGTATAAAAACAGAACTAATACATTTCATACATTGATTGCTATTTACTTTTCCTTTGAGTAGTTTCTTAAACATTTTCGATGCAGAGCCTGTCAGAAGCGCTCTCCCATCATAGCTTTGGTGTTTCCTCAGTGTCTAACCTTGTGATGCCAATATAGTTTGAACTTTCAGAAGCAAAGTAATTCATTTTAAATACAACTCCTAACCTTTTCTTTGACTCAGTTCATCAAAAAAAAAACCAACGGAGCTATTTGTGATCACACCAATCAGGGCCGGATCATCCATGACTGGACTTTATTAAGACAGCGTTAAGTATTGAATGCTAAATGTATTCTCAAAAGGCCTTATTTGTAACCCTACTCACCACACCCTCGCCCTCCACGAGAATAACGAACCCAACCAATATCTATTTTCCTTGTGCAACTGAGAGCCTGTGAGTTTTGCTGCTGATTTCTTATGAAAAACCTTGATATGCAAGAGCCCTGCGAACTGGGAGCGATTGGGAGCAGAGGGTTGCAAGGCTTGGACATGATATGCAATAGAAAACTGATGAGGAAGAGGAGCCTTAATAAAGCAGTGGGAGAGATCATGTTGCCGATGTGGTTGCGAGCAGAGATGGTGTCCCACGAGGGCAGGACTAGGCTCAGGTTTCCTTACTAGGAGGTTTGTTTCCGCCCACGTGCAAGGCAAAGCAGCAGAATTGGTTGAAGTTAGTTTAGCAAAAAAACCAGAGCGAGCACTCGTAATCAAAGTGGAGATGCAGAGTTTTGTTTTGAATCAAAATGTTTCCAGCGCTTGCAGGTCTTGAGGTGTAGCTGAAGCTCAGCTCTGTGATCCCAAAGAGAACAGCTCGGCAGTTGTGTTGTGCTTTATTTAACAGATGAAAGAAAGAACTCTGAAAAAAATAGTATTTAGAAACCCCATCCTTTAAGTTCATTTTTTTCTTGGAATAAATGCTGGCGTTGCCCAGAGTGAGTTGTTCTGGATGAGAGTAGTCCCCGGGTATCTCACAGGGTGCAGCGTCCCACCCCAGCTCCAGGAGGGAGATCCAGAAGATGCTCAGGATTTATTTTGGAGACAAGAGCTGAGGTAGGGCTCCATCCCTGGGTGCTCGGCTTGCCTGCAGCCGTCACGCTCTCCCCACTTCCCCAGCAGCTCTTTTCTATTCGTAGGCTCAGCAGATACTACAAGCTCCAGCCACTGCTGTGGTGTTGGCACATCCCTTTTTTTCAGCATTCATCCCACGTGCTGCAGGATGAGGGGCTGGCAGCTCCCTTCTTTGAGATGTTCTGGCTGCTGCTTTTATGGAGGCAGGTCAAGTCCAGGGCTGGGATGTGGCACAGACCTTCTTTTTCACCCAAAACCATCATTTGAAAGCACATTTCACCTGGCCTGCACTGTGCTTGTTATGCTTAATGTTATGAATATGGGACTTGTAATAAAACACCTTGTACAGGACTGGATAGCAATATTTATTGCATTTGAGAAGTGTGCAATAGGGCATGAAGATCAGGCATAAAACATATCGACTATTTTATATTTCTCGGCGATCCATGAAAACCCAGCTCGGTGTTTCAGGACAATGGTAGTCACAAATACCAGCTGCCTTGTTGCTCTCTTATTCCTGCTGCTCTGATTTCACTGCCATCTCTGGTGGGTATCCCATCTCCACCCCAAAAATCTCTGTTAAACAGCCTGGGTCCCTCATGGTGTGGCACTGGCCCTTCCCGGGGTTTGACGAAGTCATCCCTCTGCTACTTGACCTCAAAATTTGGAAATTGTCCTGAGCCAACCATTTACCCTCTTCCCTTTTGATCTTTGTGGGATATTTGGGTTGAAAGGGTCTTTTAAAGGTCATTTAGTCCAACCCCCCTGTAATGAACAGGGACATCTTTGACTAGACCAGGTTCCTCAGAGCTCTGTGTGACTGACCTTGAATGCTCCCAGGGCCATCCCTGGCAGTCACAGCTTCTCTGGGCAACCTGCGCCAGTGTTTCACCACCCTCATAAAAAATTTCTTTCTCAGGTCCTTCTCAGCAGGGCTGCTCTCAATCCCTTCATCCCCCAGCCTGTGTGGATCCCAGGGATTGCCCCATCCCCGCTGCAGCACCTCTTATTTGGCTGTCTTGAACCTCGTGAGTTTCCCATGGGCCCCCTTCTCGAGCTTGGCCAGGTTCCTCTGGTTGTCACTCTGTCCCTCAGGTGTGTCAACCACACTGCTCAGCTTGGTGTCATCTGCACACTTGCTGAGGGTGACTCGTTCCCACTGTCTGCATCATTGGTGAAGATCCTGAACAGTACTGGTCCCAGTATGGACCCCTGAGGGACACCACTGGTCACTAATATCCATTGGACATTGAGCTGTTGAGATGTGATCGTCCAACCAATTCCTTGTCTTCTGAACAGTCCATCCATCAAACTTATCTCTCTCCAGTTTAGAAAGAAGGGTGCTGTGGGAGACTGTTTAAAGGCCTTACAGAAGTCCAGATAAATGACATCTGTAGCACTTCCCTTGTCCACTGATGGAGTCACCCCTATCAGAGAAGGCCACTGGGTTGGACAGGCAGGACTTGCCTGTGGTGAAGCTGTACAAGATGTCCCAAATCACCTCCTTGTCCTCCAGGAACCTCAGCAGAGCTTCTGGGAGGGTCTGTTCCATGATCCTCCCAGGCACAGAGGTGAGGCTGACAGGTCGGTCGTTCCCAGGGTCCTACTTTTTATACTTGTTCAGAATGGGTGCAATGTTTTGCTTTTCCCATTCTCCACGACTTCACCTGACTGTCATGACTTTTTAGATACCATGGAGAGCTACTTGGCATCTACATCAGCCAGTTGCCTCAGGACTGTGGGATGCACCTCATCAGGTTCCATAGACTTATGTACGTTCAGGTTCCTCAGGTCGTCACAAACTTGATCTTCTCTCACAATGGGAGGGACTTTGCTCTTGTAGTCCCTGTCCTGTGGTTCATCCACTCAAGGATGGTGGGAAGAGAGGTTGCCTCAGCCTTCTCATCTCTTGGTACCCGTTTGCCAGTCACGTTACACCTTCTTTGACCCTTCCTTTTCAGTCTGTAGAAGCCCTTCCTGTTATTCTTTACATCTCGTGCCAAGTTCAGCTCCATCCGCACCTTGGCCTTCCACACCCCATCCCTACACAACCTGGAAGCATCCCAATACTCTTCCCAGGATACCTGTCCCTGCTCCCACTGCCTGTGCATTTCCTCTTGCCCTTCAGTTGGGACCAGCAGGTCCTGACTCAGCCATGCCAGTCTCTTGCCTGCCTTGCCCAATTTCTTACGCCTGGGGATTGAGAGCCCTTGTGCTCTATGGAAAACATCCTGAAAGATCTGCCAGCTCTGTTCTGCTCCCTTGTCCCTGGGGGCAGCTTCCCAGGGGATCCTATTAACTAACTCCTTGAAGAGCTGGAAGTGTGTT